TTTGAGAAAGCCACCCTGAGTGACACCCGGAAGCCGGGTAGCAAGGGGCTGCATCCCCAGGTCCGTGCTGGGGGCCAGGGGTGTAAGCAGCAGAGCGGGGGCAGGGGGTGGGGGGCGGGTAGGATGCCCGGTCGCATTGAGTTTGGGGTGGGGACGTGCCCACCCCCAGCCAGACTCTGTCCTCAGTGTGAATGGTCATTCCAGCAGGGTGCGCTGCCCGCGGACTCCCAGCTCACGCCATCTTCCTCCCTCCCGCTCAGCCAGGCTGAGCTCCCACCTGGTCACACAGGCAGGCCTCGGGGAGGCCCCCTCCCCAGAGGAGAGGTGCAGAGCCTGAAGTCAGATCTCGGCAGGTCTAATTCCCAGGATGTGCTCGGGCTGAGCTGAAGGCGGCGGGGCCCCTACTCTCATTTCCCAGGGGAGGTATTTCTCAGCGTGCAGCCCCAGCTGGGCCTCGGGCAGGTCCCACTTCCCTCCTCCCCACCCTTTCAGGCAGCTGCGGGGGAGGGTAAGTGAATCGCATGTCCAAACGCATCTCCAAAATCGAGGCTTCAGCCGAGCCTTTGACCCTGATCCGTGGGGGACATCAGTGTCGCAAACAGCCCCAAAATGGTTAACTTAAAAAAATACACCACCACTGCTCCGCTTCCCCAGGCCCAAGGCACCAGCAAAAATACTGCTAGCCGTCCGTTTTTGCTATTTTACGTCACCCTTTCCATTGTAAGCCATAATTTTCAGAGGTTTATAGGTCAGCTATAAAAAAAATAATAAACCTCTCCCTTTGACTAAAAGGGAGCACTTGGAAACTAGAAGGCTGGTGGGTGCCCGGGTGGATCCGGCCTCGAGTTTTTCCACCGAAGCGGCGGCGCCTCACCCCTCCCCCCCCCCACCTGCCCCTGGGCCCTTCCTCTCGGCCTCCCCCTCTCCTCTTCCCCGCAGGCTTGCAGGCTGCCCCTCCCCCACCGTGGGCGAGAGAAGAGGCCAGAACACATCTGCGGTCCTGCGGCCCCACCCCGGGGGACACCGGGGCCCACGAAGCGGAGGACTTTGGAGCCGTTGGGGTCCACCTTGGGCGGGGCCTGAAGAATTTCAGGCTCAGGTTCGCCCTCTCCGGGCCTGCGACCGGCCCAGTCCCCGCAGGTGCCCACCTGAGTCCCATTGGGGCTCGGCCCAGGGCAGCTGGGGTGGTCTCCTTGGAGTCGGGGAAACAGTGAGCCCTGGTCTCCGTGTACAGCCCTGCACGTGTGTGTGTGTGTGTGTGTGTGTGTGTGTGTGTGTGTGTGTGTGTGTGTATGTGATAAATGCAGAGCGAGGGCGGGGCCGCTCATCCCTAAATTAGGGCCCTGGAGCAGGTGGGCGTGGGCCAGCACTGCCAGGAGAAAGCCCCCCTCCCTCCCTTTAGGGCTGCCCCCTGGGTTCTAACTCCCTAACATTTGGGGGTGCCAGAGGGGAAAGCTGGAGGCAGTACAAGCACACACGGAGCTGAGTTGCAGCATTATTCGGCCTCTTTATTTAGAACCCGGCGGACGAGGAGCCGGGGCAGTGGTGCAGACGGCTCAGGAACCTTTTTTTTTTTCTTTTTTTTTTCTTTTTTTTTTTTTCTTTTAACAGATTTGTCTTCAAGTTTAAAATAATCATAATAGTAAAAAGAGACAGCGAAAGCGCGAAGAGACTGCAAGCTAGATGGGCTTGTACGGCAGCTACAGCTTGTGAGCGACCCCCTCCCCCCAGAGTCCGCTATAAAAAATAAATTTACATTTGTCGATAACCAGATGCGAGTGAGGTGCCTTTGGCATAACCAATAACCGAGCTAGCGCGTGGCAGAGCGGCCCACGCCTCGACATAAATAGAAAATATAAGTTAGTATAACTTTAAAAACTTTTTGTACAAATATACATGTTTTTTTCCTTTTTTCCTTTTTTTTTCTTTTTTCATTTTTTTGCACTGAGTTTCAGCAGAGATTAAACATTTTATATAAATGACTCTTAAAGCTTTACACCTTGGGACCAGTGTACTCCTCGTGCAGAATACATTTAGATATAAAAGACGTTATTAATACATTGCACAGTTTTCAAACTTTAAACACAAAACCGAACGCTGCTCCGTGGCAGCTGCCGCCGGTTGCTGCTACATGGACGGTCCCAGCCGAGGCCCAGCGCTCCTCTCCTGTCCGCTGCCCAGCGGGCTCCCTCGGGGCTCGTTGGGCGCGAGGCTGCGGGAGAGAGGTGCTGTGAGCGAGCGGCGACAGAGTGGCCGCGGGACCCCGCGGGGCGCCCCTCCCCGCCCGCCCCGTCTGCTGCGCTCACCTCTCATCGCAGCCGCTTGCGCGGGGTTTGCTCAGCCGAGCCGACGGCTGGAGCGGCGCCGGGCGCGGCGCATCCCGCGGGGACCTCGTTCGACGCCTTGGCTTCGGGCGCGGGTCTCTTGCGCTTGGCGAAGAAATCTGCGGGCGACAGCGCGCGCGGCCGGTCAGGGCGGGGCCGGCCGGGGAGCCCAAGAGGGTGCCGGGAGGAGGCGCGGGCTGCTGGGCGGCCGGTGGGGGGGCGCCGTCCCCGCCCGCGCCGAGGTCCGCGGCGGGTCAGCTTTGTTTACGTCGCCGCGCAATGTGCTGTGTAAGCATTTCCCCTTGTCCCGCGGCCAAGCCCCCCGGGGCTACCGCCGCGCTTAACCCCCTCGGCGCCGCGATCGCCGCGCCCGGCCGCGCCCGAGGAGGGCCTCCAGTGGCCCGGGCGAGGATCGCGCTCGGAGGGGACCAGAGCGCGCCCTCCCAACCCTCCCGCGCGAACCCCTCCGGAGCACAACAACAGGGCGGGGACGGGGTGCGGGCGCTGCCTCGCCCCGCGCGCTGCGGGCCCTTTAACGCCACGGAGGAGGCGGGGACCAAGAGAGGCCCCCGAGGGCCTGGGAGCCCGGCCGGCCGGACAAAGCAGGGCCGGGCCGGGCCGGGGCGGGGCCGCGCTGGACTCACCGGAGATGAGAGGCCCGGACAGCTTCTTGATCGCGGCGCCTCCGGCGGCGGCAGTGGTGGCAGCGGCGGCGGCAGTGGCGGCGGCGGCGTTGGTGTTGGTGGCAGTGGCGGCAGTGCCCGGCGCGGGGCGCCCCGAAATCCCTGAGTGCGGCGGCTCGGCCAGGGACTCCTGGCTGCGCGACGGCGGGACCGCCTCCGGCTCAGAGCTCTCCTGCGGCGCCGGGGCCGGGGCCGGGGCAGGCGCTACGGACGGGCCGCTGGACGGCGACGCCGGCGCCTCCCCGAGGCCGTCGAGGGACTCATCGGCCGGCGGCCCGGAGGGCGGGCTATCGCCCGCGCCGTCCGGGCGGGGACGAGGCGCCAGGAGCAGGCGACAGCGCCCCACCTGCACCGTCTCGCGGTAGAAGGCGGGCACGGAGTCGCTGTCCACCTCGGTCCACTGCAGGCGCCCGGGGCCCCGCAGTGGCACGTCCTGCTGGAAGTTGTAGTCCCAGCGACGCTGGTCCTCGGCGCTCAGCTCGGCCAGGCGCATCTGCAGCTCGCGGCTGAGCTCCTCGTGGTCCACGGGCCCGAAGAGGCTGCGGCAAGCGCTGGTGCGCGCGAACAGGGGAAAGGTGCGGCGGGCGACCAGGCGCTCCATTGCCGACGCGCTGCGGAGATACGCATCGGACTTTTCCGGGGGCTGCGCGGGCCGGGCGGCGGGAGAGGAGAGGAGAGGAGGAGGAGGAGGAAGAGAGGAAAGGAGGGCGGAGGCCGGGCGCAAGTGAGACCCCGCGCGCCGGAGTCTGCATTTGCAAAGGGACGCGCTGGGAGGGCGGCGCGGCGGCTACCTGGCTGTCGGGCCGTGGACTGCTCCTGAGTCTCGCTCGCTGTGTCGTCCGGCCGGCGGCCGCGCCCCCTCGGGTGCCTGTCCTCGCTCGCTCGGCTAGCCCTGGCCTGGCTGGCACCCACCGAGCGCAGAGCACTTGGCCTGTGGAACGCCCAGTCCTCGCGCGCCCCTTTATACGCGAGGGTCCCACCCCCCCCGCGCACGGGCCCCGCTGCTATTAGCATAATGTAGTATTTTCAGTTTCAACAACACCGCGGCGATTGGCCGGCGCCGCGCTGCCCCCGCCCCTCCGGCCGTCCGGCCCCCTCCCGCCGCCCATTGGCCCTGCGCACACACCCACCCGAGGGCGGGGCGGGGCGCGAGGGCCGATTGGCGGGGCGCGGGGCGCGCGCAGCGGCGGGGGAGGGGGCGGGGCGCGGGGCGGGGCCGGAGTTAAAGGGCGCTGCGGGCGGTAACGTGACACCGCGGCGCCCCGCCCCCTCGCCCCATCCCCCCCCACACCCCCACCCCACCCCCACCCCCCGCTGACCCGCACGCTCCTTAGTGCCGCCTGGAGGCCTGGGAGGGTAGGAGTGCCAGTTCTGAGAACTCTACATCAGCTTTGGCCCTTGTGGTCCGCCGCCCCCCCCCCCCCCTCCGCCTCTGCTGGCGCGCCCTACCGGGCGCGGCGGGCGACGACCCCCGGCAAGACCGGCGTTCGGCCTGGCCCGACTCGCCCCCCTGGGGGCACCCAGCCCCGCCGCCCGTGCTCGCCCTTGGGCCTCCCGCGCCAGTTGACGGGCCTTTAACCCGCCGCGGCCAGCTCGTCCCAGGCTGGAGCTACATAGGGTCTTCGGCTGCCCCCGCGCGGCCTGCTGCGCCCGAGGCTTGTGTGCCTGGCAGGGTTCCGCGCACCTGGAGCCCTAACACACCTGCTAGACCTAAGGCCCACGAGTGAGCGGGGAGGGGGGTTTGGGGGGCCGGGGGAGGGAGGCTCTGCTCCACTCTTTCTCCAAGGGCGAAGTGGCAGACACCTTGAGAGCTGGCCCACAGTCGCCTGGAGCCAGGGTCTGGAGACTCTAGCTCTTGGGGCCGTCGGTCCTGCCCAGTGGATGGGAAACTGGCCGTGCCCATCCTGAGCTATGCACCCTGTGACATCCTGAGCTACGTCACTGACTCGGTGCTCAGCCACTTCAGGCTTGGCCAGGCCGGGGGTTGGCTAGCTGGCTGGAGGCTGCTGTGCTGGCTATTGGACAGGGCGCTGGAGGCTTCTCCACTAGGGTGGGGCTGGCCCTGCCCAGCCTGGGACCCTGACTGTGCATGCTGATCCTCTGGGCCAGGCTTATCCCTTGTCACACAGGAAACCGCCAGATGGGGTGGGGGCGGGGGGGGCAGCAGAGAGCAGGCGCGACGGCGGCCAG